GGCAGGCGGGGGCCACTCTTCATCGCGGTGCGCGGGCCTCTCACTATCGCGGCCTCTCTTGTTGCTGAGCACGGGCTCCAGACGCGCAGGCTCAGTAGTTGTGGCTCATGGGCCCAGTTGCTCCGCGGCATGTGGGATCTTCCCAGACCAGGGCTCGAACCCGTGTCCCGTGCATTGGCAGGCAGATTCCCAACCACTGCGCCACCAGGGAAGCCCTGAAAAAAATTTTTGAAAGGGTAACTGTGCCACTACTTGGGAGTAATTTTTATAACTTTTAAATCATAATTCCTTTCAGTTTTGGAGTTCCATGAAATACTTCTGTTCAATTAAACCAATACGTGCTTAACAATTAAACAGCATTCAGCATTATACTAGGGTAATTATACAAGAGAAATACAAAGAGCATGATTTCAATCAAAGTAGTTTAGTTTTTCTGGGAAGAGAAGAAATGCACACCAAAAAATAGTACAAGTAGATGAATTCGGGCCAGAATGAGTGGTGGAGACTAGGTGATTGAAGAGAGCTGTGTGGGCTGGTGTATTATTAATCTCCAAAGATTTTGTAGACTATTCTCGAGGGATTTTGTTAGACTCATTTAGAGGGCTTTTGGGCTTTTTCAGAATATTTACCCCTGAGGATCTCATTCTGTACACACACACACACACACACACACACACACACACACACACACACACACACACACACACTGCTTCCCAGAATGAGCCACTGATACAGACACAGACAGAAGTGTGTAACATAGGTATTCTGGGGGGAAAATGGTTAACAAAACCCTACTATTTGAAAAGGGATCAGATTCACACATGGTTTTAATGGAGGTGGAATGGAAAAAGAACACTTGAGGTAGGGAATACAGTTGATAAGCAAACACATGAAGACAAGGATGTGTTTATGTCTAGGAGAAGTAGGATAAGGACAAGCTGAATTATGAGTTGTGAATACCCAGCAGAAGAGTAGAATTTATCTCATCACTGTAAAGTTTTTTGCACAGGTGACTAATAATAAAGTACCATTTCTGAAAAATGGATTACCCTCAGATATGGAACGTTTAGTTGTGGTAATAAGACCTGGCTAAGGAAGTAGCTTTGGGAATGGATGGAGAGACTGAGGAAGGAAAAATTCAAAAGAATGTGCTTAATGATTGTATGTTAAAAAATGAGGGCTTCCCTGATGGCGCAGTGGTTGAGAGTCCGCCTGCCGATGCAGGGGACGCCTGTTCGTGCCCCGGTCCGGGAAGGTCCCACATGCCGCGGAGCGGCTGGGCCCGTGAGCCATGGCCACTGGGCCTGCGCGTCCGGAGCCTGTGCTCCGCAATGGGAGAGGCCACAGCAGTGAGAGGCCCGCGTACCGCAAAAAAAAAAAAAAAAAAAAATGAAAGTGGGAGACTACTTAAATTAATTTAAATTAACTTAGAAAATTGACAGGAATTTCAAAATGGACCAGCTAGCTTTTGGAAGGAGGACAGAAGGAGTTGAATTTAGTTTTGAACATAACTGTGTTTGAGCTATCTGTAAGATGTTCATAAAAATAGCCTATAGCCAATGAGAAATATAGGATTTGATTAAAAAGTCAAAATGGGGCAGGGAGTAGCAGGGAGAGAGAAAGAATTCCTTTATAGTAGATAGAGGAATCAGTGAAACTATGAGCATGAATTAACTTTTTACCGTTTAGAATTCTGGTTTTATTTCTTTTCATGTAGACCATGGATTCTTATGATGCACCAGAATCGACTCCTAGACAGTGTGCATCCTCAAGGCTTAAAGATTACTTTATAGGTGCCACCCCTCTTCAAAAACGATTAGAATCAGTCAGGAAGCAAACTTCATTTATCCCGACTCCACCTCGAAGGAAAATTCCCCAGTGTTCACAACTGCAGGTATGCTCTTTGTGTTACTAATAATTGAGAATATCTGTGAATGAAACGTTTCAATTGTTGTTACTATTTATAGTATTTTTAGTATATTCTTACTCCCTGTGGTAATAAAATAAATGAGAAACAGCTATAACAATTATTCACACTATCAGTACCATATGTTTTTTAACCTCTTTTTTTAAAAAAATTCTCTTTATTTACTAGTTTTCAAAATAATGCTAGGGGTTGGTTTCCTAGCATTCTCCAATGGTGACAAAGTTTTTGTTTTTTTGGTTGATTTTTTTTTAACTTTTTATTTTATATTGGAGTATAGCTGATTAACAATGTTGTGATTGTTTCAGCCTGCCACATAACATTGAGCAGAGTTCCTTGTGCTATACAGTAGGTCCTTGTTGGTTATCCATTTTAAATATAGCAGTGTGTACATGTCGATCCCAAACTCCCTAACTATCCCTTCCCTCCTGGTAACCATAAGTTCCTTCTCTTAAGTCTGTGAGTCTGTTTCTGTTTTGTAAATAAGTTCATTTGTGTCATTTCTTTTTAGATTCCACATATAAGGGATATCGTATTTCTCTTTCTCTGACTTCATTTAGTATGACATCCTCTAGTTCCTTCCTTAACCTCCTTTAATTTGGGACGTTTCCACAATATTTCTTTGTCTTTTATAACATTAACATTTTTGAAGAATATGTTTCCTCCTCTTCCCTTTTTAAATAGAATATTCCTCATTTTGTATTTGTCTGATGTTTTCTCAAGATTAGATTGAAATTATGTATTGCTGGCTGGAATACTGTATAGATCGTGTTGTATCCTTTTGGGAAATAACATCTGGTAGCACATAGGTGATGTTAATTTTGATCATCTTGTCAGTGTGTTGCCCAATAATTACTGCTTTATTCCCCCCTGCAACTAATAAGCTGTCTGTGCGGAGACACTTTAAGATAATACAAATATCCTGTACCTCATCAAAATTTTGCCTCACACTTAACATCCTTCATCCATTGATATTTTTTGCCTAATCCCATCTTTATGGTGATGGTTGAAAAATAATAATTTTCCATCTCTATTTGCTCCATATTTACCAACCAGCCTTTGGCATTCTGTTTTAGGCCCTTCTCATTTCTATTCCATTTATTTATCTATTTATCAGTACAGATTCATGAATTCCTGTTTTTAAAATTTTTCTAATTACTTACTAACTTATTTTCATGTTTATATTGTTCCGGATTTGTCTGGTGGCAACATGCTCTGTTTTGATCATTCATTAAAAAAACCCTGTGTATTAATATTAGTAATTTGTAATTTTACTGAACTATGAAATAAAGCCCCAGTCAATACAAGTTTTTTTTTTGTTTTATAAATTTATTTAATTATTTATTTATGGCAGCGTTGGGTCTTTGTTGTTGTGCGAGGGCTTTCTCTAGTTGCAGAGAGCGGGGACTACTCTTCCTGGTTGCAGAGCACGGGCTCTAGGCGCGTGGGCTTCAGTAGTTGTGGCTCCAGGGCTCTAGGCACTCGGGCTTCAGTAGTTGTGGCTCCAGGGCTCTAGAGCACAGGCTCAGTAGTTGTGGTGCACGGAATTAATTGCTTCACAGCAAGTGGGATCTTCCCAGACCAGGGCTCGAACCTGTGTCCCCTGCATTGGCAGGTGGATTCTTAACCATTACACCACTAGGGAAGTGCCGTCAATACAAGTTTGATGGATGCTTTTGAGTCACTTAGCAAGGAACCTGGCTGATCAGTCACCCACACCTTTTAACTTTTTCTTGTCTGTGTTGTGGGTCTAGTATCTTTTGGCATATGAGAAAAGTTTTGCTTTTTTGTGAAAACTTCTTTAAAGAAAAATTACTAGGGCTTCCCTGGTGGTGCAGTGGTTAAGAATCCGCCTGCCAATGCAGGGGACACGGGTTCGAGCCCTGGTCCGGGAAGATCCCACATGCCGCAGAGCAACTAAGCCCGTGCACCACAACTACGGAGCCTGAGCTCTAGAGCCTGAGAGTCACAACTGCTGAAGCCCATACGCCTAGAGCCTGCGCTCAGCAACAAGAGAAGCCACCGCAATGGGAAGCCCACACACCACAACGAAGAGTAGCCCCCACTCGCCCCAACTAGGGAAAGCCTGCGTGCAGCAACAAAGACCCAACACAGCTGAAAATAAAATGTAAATAAAATAAATAATTTAAAAAAAAAAAGAAAAATTACAAGTCCTGGTAATGAAAGTTATGGTTCTTAACCAGAAAACAGTGATTGTATATAAATTAAAGACTGGAAAAATAAAAAAACAAACATTGCAACAGTTAAAAAAAAAAAAAAAAGACTGAAATGTCCAGTTCAGTGTTTCCTTTTCTCTATGATACAAATAATTTTGCCACATCTTTTTTTTCTTGGCCGTACCACGCGTCCTAAGGGATCTTAGTTCCCAACCAGGGACTGAACCTGGGCACTGGCAGTGAAAGCACCAAGTCCTAACCATTGGACCCCCCTTTTTTTCCCCCAAATCTTTTGATAGTAATAAAAAAAGTTTACAACTTTTCCATGAGTGCTCTAGTCAGAACAAATATTTTTGTCAAGTGGACAACTGTGGTGAAAGTTCCAAAAGATATTTAGGACTGTGGAAGTATGGATTCTATAGAAAAGTTCAATTCAGGATAAAACTAGGAGCTTATGTGGGGGTGTGTGTGAAGACCCTCAGTACTGCCATAGTGCCAATACAAATGAAGTGTTTTGTTTTTAGTGGTGCCTGTGATTCTAATAGAGTCTAGTCAAAATACTCCCATGTATCTTTTTATTTAATCTACTGAATTAGAGTGATGGAGTGAATTTACTGCCAAACAATTTTAGAAATTACTTAATTAAAACCAATCAAATTAGATGCTCCAGGAATACAGTGGTGACTATTTTCAAACTCTATAATTTGAAGTTTCTAAAAGTATTTAACTGTTCATCCAATAAATATTTATTAAATAGCTGTTCTAGATGACATTGTTCTAGGTGCTAGAGATACAGTAGTGAATAAAATAGGCAAAATTCCTGTTCTCATCAAACTCATACTCTAGTAGTGAAGACAGTAAAAATCAGGCAAGTACCTAATGTCAGATAGTAATAAGTGCTGTGAAAAAAATAAAGCATGTTAAGGAGATATAGAGTGACAAAGCTGGAATGGGTGCAGGTGCTACTTTAGATAGGGTGGCCTCTTGAGTGACATTTGGGCAGAGACCTGAATGAAGGAAAGGAACATGCCATGTGAACACCCTGGGAAGAATATTCCAAAGGGAAAGTACAGCAGATGCAAAGATCAGGTACCCAGTAATGGCTTTAAATATTTAAGATACTGTGATTAAGTTCTTAGTTACTCATGTTTCCTAATTCTTAAACTTCCTTTGTCTTGATTTTTTTAGGAAGATGTTGATCCTCAAAAGTTTGCATTCCTTCTGCATAAACAATGGACTTTATATAGTTTAACTCCCTTATATAAATTCTCCTATACTAATTTCAAAGAGTATTCTAAACTTCTGAATGCATTTATTGCTGCTGAAAAGCAAAAAGGACTTGCTGTGGAAGTGGGAGATGACTTCAACATCAAAGTGATTTTCTCTACTCTCCTGGGAATGAAAGGAACACAGAGAGACCCTGAAGCATTTCTTGTCCAGGTATATCGTATAAGCAGTACTTGCTTCCTAGGAGAAAAGAATGTGCGTTGTCTTGGTTTAGAAATTGTGATATTTTCTTACTGTTTTTAAAATTCTTAAGCTTGTGATTTATAACCTATTTTATGTCTTGTTTGACCAAATTATAGTAATTAGATATGACCAACTTAAAAAAAAGTTTTTTTCCTTTTACAATATAATTATGTTTATTTTAGAAAACTTAGAAAATACATAAAAGTACAAAGAAAGGGAGAAGTTTGAGCTGCAAAGAAGTTGGGATTCTTCTCCTGGAGCTGAGTAAAACCTACCCCTATCTAGGGCTCCTTCCTTCTTTCCTTCCTTCCTTCCTTCCTTCTTTCCTTTTGAGGTTCTTGGCAGGCGAACCTCTGCTCTTTGTGGGCCCACAGATCTTCTACTTATACAACCCCAAAGACTTGTAGGCTTGAGGAAGTGAGGCTCCATCTGTTTGTGGAAATTTCTCTCAGTAAACTAGTGCATGGTGATGACTCCAGAGTTTCATCCATAGTCAATATAATGGAAAATTCTAAGACTTATGACTCTTTTCAACATGAACTTCAGGATTATATTAGAAAACAAAGAGCCAGAGGATTACAACCAGAGGTTTGCTTTAGAAAGGGGACAGAAGACTCTGTGTACAGAGAAAAGGACCACACTGCACCCAGACCTCCAGTGCTGGAGCAGAGATTCCCCTTCAGGAGGCCCCACAAGTCCCCCAGTTCCTACAAAAGGCTGAAAACAGTGGAAAGCCACTTAACCCACACTGTCCAATATTCATCACTTCCGGCAAAGACTGGAACCTGTAAATCACTGTCAGAAAAAACATGACCATTTCTTCAGTAACCGGTGGTTTCCAAGCCCACCTGTGCAAGGAATGGCCACTGGACCCCACACAGCACAACACAGAGAAGAGGCCAGCTGCTTCTCAGAGGACCACACCAGTGTCCATCAGGCAGGAGATCAAGACAGAGGCTGGACGGGAAGGTCCAGGGAGGAGGAGGACATGGCGATGAGGAGCAGGTATCGTGGAAGAGGAAGTACCACAGGGATGAAGAGGATGAAGATTCCCACAAAGAGAACAGGAGGAAGGCCAAAGTGGCGCCAGGAAGCACAGTGAAGTCCAAGTACAGAAAGAGCACCCATGATTGGGACACCATGAAGGAGGGAAGAAGGTCCAGTAGAGAGAAGAAGCATCCTGGCAAACATAGCACCCAGGAGTGGGACTTGTGGGATGAAGCTATCCTTGGTGGTTGTTTCTGATGCTGGAGATTTGGGACCTGGATATTAAATGATTTGGATCCATTGGAAAGGCTGGATTAAATGGTATTGAAGCAATTCATTAACCATACTTCAAAGAAAATAAAATTAGATCCCCACCTATATCAGACTCTGTTCAAATATAAAAACCCAGTTGGGGGGCTTCCCTGGTGGCGCAGTGGTTGAGAATCTGCCTGCTAATGCAGGGGACACGGGTTTGAGCCCTGGTCTGGGAAGATACCACATGCCGCGGAGCAACTGGGCCCGTGAGCCACAACTACTGAGCCTGCGCGTCTGGAGCCTGTGCTCCGCAACAAGAGAGGCCCCAACAGTGAGAGGCCCGCGCACCGTGATGAAGAGTGGCCCCCGCTTGCCACAACTAGAGAAAGCCCTCGCACAGAAACGAAGACCCAACACAGCCCAAAATAAATAAAGTAATTAATTAATAAAAAAAAAAAAAAAAAAAACCAGTTGGTTTAAAGATGTCAATTTAAAACCCAAATAGAAAAGTATTAGAAGTAAATATAGGAAAATTGTTTTCAGTCTTGGAATATGAACGGCTTTCCTGAACAAGACGTGTTAGCCAGGGGCCATAAAAGAAGAAAAAATAATACATGTATTTGCAAAAACACTTGAACTCTGCATGTAACAGAAGATTTTGTTGTACATTTTCTTAAAAACAAATAAGCTATGCATTGTGCATATGCATTGAGCAGCTCCAGAAAGATACACGAAACATTGGTAACTGGACTCTGGGGGCAAGAACTGAGTTGGGGGAGGCGGGTAGACAGAGGTAGCTGGTAGACTAACTTTTCAAAGTGTACATTTCTATTTGAATTTTGTACTATGTGAGACTACTACCTTTCCAATAAATAAATATTTTAAAGGTAAAAAAACCCAAAAAAACAAAGAAAGTTAAAAACCACAGTTTAACATTTTGGTATACATCTATTTGTCAGTAGACAATCTGAATAGGCCTAGTCCTATTAGAGAAATTGAATCAATAATTAATAACCTTCCAAAACAGAAAGCAACAGATCCAGATGGGTTCACTAGTGAATTCTACCAAACGTTTAGGGAAGAAATTATACCAGTTCTCTACAATTTCTTTCAGAGATAGAAGCAGAGGGAATACTTCCTAATTCATCCTATGAGCCCAGTATTACCCTAATACCAAAACTAGACAAAGACATTATAAGAAAATTACAGACTCCATCATGAATCTAGATATATCTATTTGGCTGTCTGTATCTATTAAAATTGTGATCATATTGCCCATACTTGTGCATTATGGCTTTTTTTTACTAATAATCAGTGCTGTAGATAGTTACTCATGTCATTTTGAGTAACTAAATGTAAATGTAAATTTTACGTTTTTGTAAATTTATCTGTATAATTCTATGGTTTTTAGTGGGATTAAAATCCTAGAAGTAGAATTTTAGCAAAGAAGTAACATTGTTACATATTGTGATATATCATACCAAGTTACTCAGAAATGTAACATTTTACATTCCTTACTATATGTAGTATATAAAAGTAATATGACTGTCCTTTGATTTATTAAGAAACCAGATTTATTTTATTATTTATGCGTGCTCCTTCTGTTTCTGCTAAATTAACTCATTTTAGTCATTGATAAATTAAATGCTGAAACAGTTGAAATTTTGTTTATTTGTATAGATCAGGGGTTAGCAAACTATGGCCTGCTGCTTGGCTTTGTAAATAACGTTTCATTGGAATAGAGCCCCTTTCATTTGTTTACATATCGTCTTTGGCTGTTTTTATATTACAACAGCAGAATTGTAGTTGCTACAGAGACCACATGGCTTGCAAAGCCTAAAATATTTACTATCTGGCCTTCTGCAGAAAAGGTTTGCTGACCCCTGGTATAGATCATAGTATTGGCAAGGATCTCAGAATTACTGGGATTAGGTTCAGCTGCATATAACAGAAAGTCTAAATAACAGTGACAATAGAGGTTTACTTGTCTTCCAAAAAAGTGTCCAGAGGTAGGCTTTTCCAGGCTGGTAAATGCTTCATGAAATTATTAATAATCTAAGCTCCTTCTGTCCTCTCTATCATCCTTGGTGCATGGCTTCTCTCCTGTGGTCACACTATAATCTAAATTGGCTCCTGGAGCTCTAAATACTATATGTAAGTTCAAGGCAAGTAGTAGGAGGAAGATGGGAAAGTCAGACAGGATGCCTGCCGCTGAGTAAACCTTTAACGAGACTTGCTGACACCCAACAGATACTTCTCTTTATATCCCAGATGGAAGGAAGACTAGAAAAAATTTTTAGTGGGTACTTTGCCACCTCAAGTGAAACACTGTTTTACTGTGGAAGGAAAAATAGATACTGGGTAGATAATTAGCAGTCTCTGTCAGGTTGAAGCAGTTGATGCCCAAAGAAGTTACATGGTTTGCATGTCATCAGGCAAGCAAATATTCTTGTGAGGAATAGAAATAACCTCTTGAATTCCTAGTATAGTGGCCTAATAGTTTTCTAATTAAATCTCATTTCTTGCCAGGGTTATAGGACTTATAGGTTATAAAAACGTGATAGACATAATACATCTGGCTTTAAGGTATTTGAAAGTCTCATAACTTCTTGAACAAGGAGGAAAATGGCAAAAATAATTGTTCAAATGATCATCTCTAAAGGGATATAATATAGGGCTGTGATCTTCACCTTGTCCTGGTCAAACTTTAATTAAAACTTCTATTAATATATGGAAGGTATGTTTATTATATAATTTACAAATTTAAAGTTTGAGGGGTTAGTCAATCTGCTAGAAAATATATCAAGATTCTAAAAGATCTGAATGGATTGACACAGTGGGCCAAATTGAAAGAGATTAAAATTTTAATAGGAATAAGTTTACTGCCTCAGTGTAAGTTGGGGGGGGATTTACCTATTAATAGCAAAAATGAGTATGTAGGGCTAATTTATGTAAAGCTGTCAACTAAAAACCAGAAAACTACATTAAGATTATATTAAAAAAAAAGAAAAAAAAAAGATTATATTAGTAGGAGTATAATCTAGGTTAAAGGTGGTGACAGTCCTGTAATCAGACCTTTTTGAAGTAATTATGTTCACTTATGAATGACTCCTTTGCCAAAGAATTTCAGAGAAGAGTTTCCAGATAGTGTGAACACTTGAATGTATGTCATAGAAGGAATGGTTGAAGAAACTGGAGATGTTGACCGTAGCAGTATATACGATAAGGATCATCAAATATTTGAAGGGCTTTTTCTGTAGAAGAGAGATTAGATTAGATTTCATCTGCATGCATGTAAGAAAGTAGGACCAGTGGTTGGAAACTATAGGGCCTAACATATGAAAGAACATTTTAAGTGGATAGACAGACTCCCTTAGGAAATAGTGACGTCTTCCTCAGTGGAATAATTCAAGCACATTGGATTCGGTGACTTTTACAGTCCCTTCTAAAGGTTTTTTAAAAAAAATTATTTATTTACTTTTGGCTGCGATGGGTCTTTGTTGCTGTGCATGGGCTTTCTCTAGTTTCAGTGAGCGGGGGCTACCCTTCTTTGCGGTGCACAGGCTTCGCATTGCAGTGGCTTCTCTTGTTGCAGAGCTCTGGCTCTAGGCGCACGGGCTTCAGTAGTTGTGGCTTGTGGGCTCTAGAGTGCAGGCTCAGTAGTTTTGGCGCATGGGCTTAGTTGCTCCATAGCATGTGGGATCTTCCGGGATCAGCGCTCGAACCTGTGTTCCCTGCATTGTCAGGCAGATTCTTAACCACTGCACCACCAGGGAAGTCCCCTTCTAAAGTTGAGATTTTTGTTTTCCAATTTTTTAAAGTCTTTATTGAATTTGTTTTATGTTTTGGGGTTTTTTGGCCAGGAGGCATGTGGGATATTAGCTCCCTGACCAGGGATCAAACCTGCACCCCCTGCATTGGAAGACGAAGTTAAAGTTGAGATTTTGAGACTTTTTTTTTCAGGGTACTGTACCTGGTTATACCATATTGGCACCCCTTTTTGCATTTTGGTTGCACCAAGATCTTGCCATATACCATGTCTGTTCTAATAAAGAGTATTAGGAGAAAGGTCAGTTAACTTGATACACCCTAATAATGATCAGGGAGACTATTACCTCTGTGGTTTTTGGCAGGTAATACTACATATCTTATTTTTAAATGTACTAATTAATGCTGAGAAGATGCACTTTAGGAGTAGATATACTTTTGAATTTAATGAACCCATTTGATTTTTCTTTATAGATTCTGTCAAAATCTCAATTGCCATCTGAGCACAGAGAAGGTAAAGTGTTGTGGACTGGTTGGTTCTGCTGTATATTTGGAGACAGTCTTCTGGAGACGGTTTCAGAAGATTTCACCTGTCTACCCTTATTCCTTGCAAATGGTGCAGAGACTAATACAGCCATAATTGGAACCTGGTTTCAGAAAACTTTTGACTGTTATTTCCGTCCCTTAGCAATCAATGCGTTTAATCTTTCCTGGATGGCTGCTATGTGGACTGCATGCAAAATGGACCATTATATGGCTACTACTGAATTTCTTTGGTCTGTACCCTGTAGCCCTCAAAGTCTGGATATTTCTTATGCCATACATCCAGAAGATGCAAAAGCTTTGTGGGACAGTGTTCACAAAACACCTGGGGAAGTTACCCAGGAGGAAGTTGACTTATTCATGGACTGCCTGTATTCACATTTCCATAGGCATTTCAAAATTCATTTATCAGCCACAAGATTGGTTCGTGTTTCAACATCTGTAGCTTCAGCACATACTGATGGAAAAATAAAGGTTAGTTTGAGGAAATCTAGTTAAGTAATTTTTCCTTATTGTTGCATAGTTTTCAAAATGTATGGCAATTGTATTTTCCACATTGAAGAAACACTTTGGGATGTGTGCCAATTGACGACAGTAGAGAGATTTTATTTTATTCTTTATAAATGGTTTACTAAAAAGTCTTAAGCCTTCTATATGCAGCTTTATAGTGGAAGGATACTATACACTGTGTGCCCATAGACTTTGGTAATAATATGACTTATTCTGTAGTAACTTTGAAATTTTCAGAATTTTCTTGTCAACTTTGAAATAATTATCAGAGTAACAGAGGATTTTGTGTGTTAGATAAGAAAATTATAGTAGAAACACAGAACTAAAATATCTTTATATTTTAGGCTTTTCTATCCCTACTGGGAAAGAAATAATAGAGACATTGTTTTAGTGTATATGAAGGCCTTATTAGAGAACGTATCAGAAATAAACTGAGAAAAAAACTGAGAGTAGGCACCTAAATATATTTAAGTGTATTATATTAATATATTTAAAATATATTAAAATACAGCCACAATAAACACTCGTGAATATTGGTCTTGTCACTGTACTAGGAGTTTAACGTACTTTAACTCTAATCTTTAGAGCAACCCTATAGTTAGGTGTTTCTATCTACATTTATTTTATTTTTAAAACAAGGAAGCTGAAGCCAAGATAGGTTTAAGTGACACATGCAGGATAGCTTAGTAAGAGGAAGAGTCAAGATTTAAACACTTAATCTCTTAGGTTCCAAGAAGTTCATACTCTGTCTTATAAGCACTATTTTAATGCTTTTCAGACTGGAGGTCACAATGCAGCAGTAGGTTAGGAAGTAATTTGATGGGAAGAAACCAGCTTTAAAAAACAAAAGAAAAATAGAGTGGAAAATATAAAAATGAGAATATATAACATATACTAAGGATATACATTTGCTTGTACTGGGTCATGATGTTAAATTTTTTTCTTACTATGGTTCACAGTAATAAATTTGAAATATTATATACTATTCCATCTTACTTTGACATTATAAAGAAATAAATTTACATTTTAGCACCTCAGAATTCAATTTCATGAAGTCCTTATATTTTAAAATTTTATTTCCATATTCTCACATTCTATTAATAAACTACATTTTAAAGCTATTTTATATAATTGTTCTTATCCATCTATGAATATAAGGGTGGCCCTGTTTTATCTGGTCTATTCTAAGGGCCTCTCGTAAGGATCTAAGACAGTAACTGTGGCTCCTAGGTTCGAATAATGCCATGAAGCTAACATTTATCAAGCACTAACTGTGCCAAGCATTATTAAGCATTTACACATATTGTCCCATTTAGTTTTCACAACAACCTATTTGCATAGGTTGTAAAGAGGAAATTGTGGCACAGAGGATAAGTAGGCTCCTTCAAGATCACACAGCTAATAAGTGGAGTTGGAATTTAAACCCAGTCATCTGACTCAAAAGCTTATGCTTTTAACTGCAACACTGTACTGCCTCTCAAAAGTTTGAAATTAATGTATTAACCAGGTTTCTGCCTCTGCTTAGTTTCTACAAGACACTTTGGCATCATATATCCCTTTGAGAAGAAGGAAGCTATGGAACTCTTTCTAGAAAATGTAGACACACAATTTGCATATAAGTCTAAGGGGTTCATAGATACTCCTTCCCCCTTCTCTTTAGGCAGATAGTTATCTTATCCATGGAAGCCAGGATAAATAAGAACCCTAGTCTAATTCCATCTAAGCACCATTGACTAATAGTTGTAAATTTATTAAAGTCAGTGATCTTTATTAAGTAAAGTCTATTTGACTTAGAACAGCAATGGTTTGGGTTTATATTCATAGCTTAGCTTGTAGATATGGAATTTAAAATAAGCCTGGAATATTTATCAAATATCAAACTGCTTTGCTATAAGTAATTGTATTTTAATTTTAAATGTCTTTTTTTTTTTTTTCCAGATTTTGTGTCATAAATACCTTATTGGAGTGTTGGCATATTTGACAGAACTGGCAATTTTTCAAATTGAGTGAGGCCTTGTGGGGATTATAAGTTATGGATTATATACCTTTTTCTCATTGACTATCTGCCTAATTGCTATGCTGAGGGGGACTGCAGGAGAAATGGGCATCTGTGCATCTGTTTTCCTCGCAGTGCCTTGGAGTTACCCAGATGAAAGCCAAGAAGGATCTAGAAGAACAAAGAAGGTGGTAGTGGATGAACCACAGCCAGGTGCTCGTGTAGTATAGTCCTGGTCATCTGGGATGCCAGTCTCTAGAATATGCCAAGTTATTAATTTGTTGGCCATCTTTCTAAAAAATATATAATGTTTTACTATGTCAAAATTTTTAGGATTCAAATGAGATACCTCTAATATTGAATATTTCTGATTTGCATATTTAAAACCTTTAATCCCTAATTTTAAGCATTTTAGACTTGTATTCAGAGAGAATTTCTATGTTCTATAGACATTTTCCGAGCATCATTTTGCTGTAGAGAACCAGCAATCAAAATCCTCCCCAAAGGAAACTAAAGTTACTATACATTTTTTAAGCCACTAATATGCTTCTGTTTTTAATGCTGTTTAATTCTTATTGCAGTGTTGAATTAAATATTCACTTTTAAAAGGAAGCCTTGTGTTTATCAGTGTTTTGGTGACAGATCTTTAATAAATATCTCAGGAATGGGAAGTCATAGGCTTTTTCTCTAGCACAAAGGTTACTCAACAACTGTATGGAATCATACAAATCAGAGTTGAAAGGCAGCTGTGAATCTTCTTTGAGGGCAGGGATTATATTATGTAATTTTCATGTCCCTAATTTTGTTTTAGCACAGTGCTTGCTAAATATCTGTAGATTAAGTGAATTAATTTTAACCAACTCTTACATTTTGCAGATGAAAACTACAAAATTGCACAACTTAGATGTGCACAAGATGTTATATCTAAAACTCTTCTTTTTACTCACCGAGCAGAGGAAGATTTTGTTTTACTTTAGAAACAATGTTTTTTAAAATCTTCTTTGAAAGAAAATAACTATAATAGGCTGTGATTCAAAAACAAGGACTAACTTCTGGAATGGGGTATTATTTCACATATCCTAGGCACAGCAGAAGTAGTGAAAAAAGCATGGGCTTTGGAATCAGACATTCATTCATTCAACTAAAATTAAGCTCCCACTGTCTACTCAGAATTGTATTGGGTAAAAAGAGATATAGTAGTGAAGATAAAAAAGATCCCTGTCTTGTGGAAATTATATTCTAGTAGAGGAAGGCAAAAGATAAATAATTTCAGATGGAGATAAATGCTATAAATAAGGCAGTGCAGTATGAAAAAGGGTGACTGGGATAGTGCCTACTTTATATACAGTTGTCAAAGAAGGTCTCTTTGAGGAAGTGACATTTGAGCTGAGTCCTGAATGATGAGAGGGAACCAACTGTTTGAAGATCTGAGGAAGCATGTGCTAGGCAGGTGAAACTGCAAGAGCAAAGGCCTTGAGATAGGTAAGAGCAAGCTCTTATTTGAAGAGTAAAGGAAGTCTGTGTGGCTGGAGCATGGTAAGGGTGGAGTAGTATGAGATGAAACTAAAGAGATTGTGCAGGGACTTCCCTTGTGGTCCAGTGGCTGAGACTGTGCTTCCATTGCAGGGTCGTGGGTTCGATCCCTGGTGAGGGAACGAAGATCCCACATGCCATGTGGCCAAAATAATAGTAATTAAATAAATAAAATTAAATTAAAAAAAAAAGACTGTGCAGCAGAGGCTTCTTCCATCGTGATGAGTCTCCCAATTTCTGGCTGGGCGTGTGGTTGCCCAGAATAAAGATGACATTTTCTAGCATTTCTCATAGGTAGGTACAGTTATATGACTAAGTTCTGACCCATGGCATAAAAATGCCAGTGTCATGTAGAGCTTCTAGGAATCTTGTTAATAAACAGTAGGCCTGTACCCCTTGCCCTTATTCTTCCAATTTTGCTGTTTGGAACACATAAAATGACTGGTACTCTAGTTGCTCTTTTAGGTCACTGGGATAAGGGTCAGATCCCAGGGACAGCAGAGCATGGCCTGGAAGGAGTTTGTGCCCTGAGGACTTCTTGAAGCTGAACTCCAGTACCAACCGGGATGTTCTTCCTCCAGACTTACGTATCAGAGTTGTAAACTTCTATCTTGTTTAAGCTATTGTTACTTTGGTTCTCTTGCTCATAGTCAAACCTAATGCTAACTGATACAGAGAGGAAGAATCCACATCATCTAAGTTTTTACAGGTACTATGAAGAGACTGGATTTTATTCTAAATGCAATGGGGAACCACTGAAGTTTTATGCAGAAGAGTTATATGATCCAATTTGTATCTTACAAAATTTTATAAGATATGATGGAGAATGAGTTGTAGGTGGACAAGAGTGGAAAAGGGAAAACAGGTAAAATGTTGTTAGAAATGGTACAACCTCATGGAGAAGTTAGCAGTATCTATCAAAATTATGTGTGATTTACCCTTTGACTAGTAATCTCACTTCTGGGATTCTATCCCCAAAATTTACTAGCAAAAATATAAAATGAAGCAGAAATGAGGCTATTTATTCCAACAGTATTTGTAATAGAAAGACTGAAAACAATCCAAATGCTCATCAGAGAGGGATTGGTTGAATAAATTATGGTATAGCTGCACAGTGAACTACTACTGTGTAATTATAAAAGGGTTTGAGGAAGATAGCTAATATTGCCGTGGAGTTCTCTCTAGGATATATTGTTATGTGAAAGAGCAAGATGAGGATAGAGTGTATAGTATGCTATCTTTTATGGAAGGAATGGGGGTGGAATATGATTATGTGTGTATATTTCCCTAC